AAAAGATATTCTGAAGAATGCTGGTAACCAAACAGTTGACGGTAGCCATTGACTTCCATAATATTTTTTTTTTTCCATACTATGAAAGTCAATGGCTGCCGTCAACTGTTTGGTTACTACGGTGGCCCAGCAGTGCACAACACAATGAAATCTCCGCAACACAACAGAAACAAGACGCAACACAACGAAATTTGCGCAACACAACAGAAACAAGACGCAACACAACGAAATTTGCGCAACACAATGGAAACAAGTTGCAATGCAATAAATTTAGCACAACAGAACAAACTGCAACACAATGGAAAGAAGCCACAACACAATGGAAATATTAGCATTGCATTGCTCTCATCACGTTACTCACTCTAGATTACTCGCGGGATGTTTTTCTCGTCACTTACACAAATATAAACATTGTGTGCATGCTGTCCTCCATTTTCTGAAACAACCGGACAGGTCAATAAGCTCTTTGCTGATTGGCTCGCGCAAATTTCCCGCTAGAATTTACATTGATCAACCTGCGCGGAAGATGCAATTGAGGCAAATATCATGAATATTCGCGTCACCCAATTCACATCATTCGTGTCTATTCACGTCTTTGCATTGACTTTGTATGTAATCTACTCGCGCAATTGGTGTGCACACAGCATTAGCAGTGTTAAACACGGATCTTAAACTAATGGAGACTGTTAGGTGTTCTCAACGCTGTCAAAATAAAAGCCAAACAGAAAAACTTATCAGCCAATGCAGATAATTTAAAAATGCCAAATAACTTGCATGATCACTAATGTTAATATGTTGCTTGAGGTTCTATTATAATGCTACCGAAATATAGCTTGTACTATAAATATAAATTGTGTCTACACCAGAGATGAGGGGAACAATGCAACAAAATCAAATAGATGGCATGTTCAGTGTAGATGGCCTCAAACTGACAACAGTCACACTTGATGTAGACAAGGTATAATGCTAGTGGTCGACAAATATATCGTCTGATTTTTGGCTTTTTTTTTTTTTATTATCTGCATTAAAAATTAAAAGTTGAACTTAAAAAGTTAAAACTTCAATTTTGACAGCACTACAGAACTTTGGATAAAAAAAGTCTGTTGGATCTGTTAAATGCACATACTCTCTGTGACAATATATGACAGTTAATTGTCAACCAGCAGTGCTGATAGTGGCAGTGGTGTGATGACTTCACACTCGTGTGGTGCTCGCTCGTGATTATTGGACGGCCTCCTGGCAGGAGAGCAGGAAGTCAGCCATGAGTCAGTAATCAGTTTGACATGTCGCCATGACTCACACAGCTCTCTGTGCTCTTAAGACCAGCCATCAATCTCTGTCCACATGTGCAATTCAAGTGTTAAAGGCATGCAGGGACACAGGAGCGTGTCTGGAATCGTGCTGCAGTGACTGTCGCTGTGATTTCCATGAGCCTTTTGACAAACCATTAAAACTGTACAACTGAGGCACATACACGTCCTCCCAATGAGCATCTTCAGAGAAATCCTCAGATAGATCTTGACCATCTTTGTGGTAGGCGACTGTATAGAGCTATATATAAAAGCATGAGGAATACAAATAGAACAATAATAAAATTGTGCAACCAAAATCTGCATATGGAAATCTTTCATCCTCATGCATAAATCCCATTTGCGGTTGAAATTACTAAATTTTGCCTGCGAAAATTCACTGAACAACACAACTGTGAATGTGCATGCCTTAAGAGTCAGAGGGAGTAAAATAATGATGAAAAACCCATTTATGACTACAACAAAACTTGATGAAGCTGTCATCAGCGTGGCACTTTCACACATGATGACTGTAGAGATCAGGATGGTTTTGCTTTAATGAATGGTGAGCCGTTTCCATGGGTCAAGTGTGAATAACTGCTTGTTAATCTGCACGTTTAATCAAGCCTCAGGGAAAACAACAAGCCGTGACTGCATATGCAGTTATGTGGTTGGCATTCTCTGCAGCATAATGCTGCTGTCTCTGGAGTAAATGCCAACAGTGTGCTTAATTTGTTACTGTGTAAAGTCAAGGCTAAGAGATACGTTTAATTATTTTCTAAATAAGTTCTTAAGAACATGCTACTTAACGTTTATCAGATGCTCGACAGTTGTTAAAAAAACTTTAATAATATAAATAATATAAAAGTAATTAATAGTATAATTGATTAAAAAAGTGCCTTGATTTCATGTTGTTAATAAAAGAAAAAAAAAGTAGAAAACTTTTTTCCATGTGATTAAATAATAATTACCAAGAGGTGATTTAAAAAAATAATTCCCACCTGGTTATATGCATATCATTGATGTTGTTTTCATGTTTGTTCGAACGATTATTATCTGTTAATTTTAATCTAATCAGTGGTGTGTGTCAGCATTTGGGAAAAACCAAAAGGAAAAAAAAACACTTTAACTATATATGTGTGTGTGTGTGTGTGTGTGTGTGTATATATATACAGTGGGTACGGAAAGTATTCAGACCCCCTTAAATTTTTCACTCTTTGTTATATTGCAGCCATTTG